TAGGGTTTAGGGTTTAGGGGGAGTACGCCCATCTTTGACACCCGGAACACTGTTTTGCATTCTCAAAGATCTGGTTTAGGGTTTATAGGATTTGTATTTGGTCCAAGGAACTTGCACATCTCTGGCGAGGGCTGGGCTCGTTTGTTCTTTAGCCTCCTGTTCTTGAGGAGCAAGCTTGTTCAAAAACCCTAAACCCCAAACCCTNNCCCAAACCCTAAACCCAAAACCTATAACTCTACCAGGGGATGCTCGAGGCTATCGCGAAGGAGAAGTTGGAGGCGAGTCTGGGCTGGGCTGGGGTTTGGGGTTCAACCTGCTCATCGTTGTTATGGCCACAGGTTTCGGGTGGTGGTAGTGCTTGTTGCATTGCCTTTGGGGTAGTGGGTTCCGTGTGTCGGTCGGGTTGAAGTATGGCACAGGTCTCCTACCGACATCCCAACCATGGGGAAAGCTTCCCGTGGCCCCACATTGGTTGCGGTCTGCAACAGGCGTCCGTTCGGACCGTGATCAAAGGAACCCTCCTGTCCGCTAACATGCGGATGCTGCCATTCAACCCCTAGATCCCTAAACCAAAAACCCTAAAACNNCCAAAAGCCCTAAAACCCTAAAGCCAAGAGCCCTAAACCCCCGAAGCCCTGACCCCTAAACCCTAGACCCGCAGGGATCTTGTGGGCCGTTGATTGTTTTGGGGGCTTGGATCTGTAAACGGAGTGGTGCATAGGAGTGAGCGGTCCCAAACCCGTAAACCGGGCTCCTCGCAACGGAGATCCGACACAGAAATAAATCATAATGACATGCCCTGGCCATTTAGGGTTTAGGGTTTAGGGTTTAGGGCTTACCTACATAGCAGGTTGCTATGTAACATGTATTTATTCCTCGGGATGACCACAAGATACCAGTCCGCGACGTAGCAGCTCAGAATGAAGCCTCTGTCGGCCTAAAGGCCGTTAACTTCCCCTAAGGGTCCATGTGCCCAATAGTATAAAGTACCCTTTAGGGGTTCCTTTAAAGGGGTCCTTTAAAGGTTCTATGAGGGTACCATAGGGGTTTAGGTTTAGGGTTTAAGGGTCCATGTACTCATATAGGATATACATTGGCCCCAAAGTACCTGTATAGGGACTACTTTAAGGCCAAAGTATCTCTATTTGGGTACATGGACCCTTAGGGTTCTTTGTGCATGTTGCTCTCCAGAGGCTGCGAAGCTTGCGAAAAATCAGTACGTTGCTTTGGAGTCGTCTCTGAACAGCATCTTTGCAGCTTGGCACCAGCATTTCAGCACAGCTTTTCCAAGACGCCATCCCCCAAGTGGTTAGGGTTTCGGGTTTATGGTAAAACAACCCAATGGTCTTTCGAACCTATCTGAATCTCAAATCCTAATCCGAAGATACTCAGATAGGTACTCCTAGACACCCTAAACCCTAAACCCCTAAACCCACTGCATGGCTTCCATTTCGCTCAGAGCCAAAAGTTTCGGTTGGCGGCTGGCGGGAGAAGGTTTTCACATGATGACATCCCTGAACTGGATGAAGCCTCATGAAGAACACTCAACCTATAGTCTCCATTGTAGTTGCTTTTTTTGGTTTAACCAATTATATATCAAAGATTTTATAAAGGTATCCCCCAAAATAAAGGAACTACAATGGAGACTATAGGTACATGTCGCTGTCGAGTACTTAACGGATCATGGGACTTAGTAACTAGGGTTAAAAGTAGGGTAACCATACTTATAACTACTTGTAACCCCAATTAAGGTTCTTATCACCTTACTTACTAAGTCCCATGATCCTCCAAGTATACCGCAAGGTACTAACGAGGCAGACTGGATACGTCTTGATCTGACACATCATGCCAGGCGATGTCGTGGAGTAGAATTATATTGCGATCCGCGCAGGCCCCGTACAACCTGCAACGGCCTACTATCGGGAGCGATGATGCCAGGGTGGCTCACTAGTGTTACGAAACGTTATATATATATACACACACACACACACCTGTGTTCATTCACTGGTATGTTACGTGCGGATACTGGCATCCTCCCTCAGTCAGTCTCCCTTGCATACACCTACAACTACGAATACAACTTCAATATTAGGGTTAGCGTTTAGGTTCAGGGGTTGAGGGTTTAGGGTTAGGCTTTGGTTGCATGACATTTCAACAAAGGGCGCGACCCAGTTGTGGACATGAGTTGTTGTGCATAACACAGCAAGACGCGACATTGCTGAAGGTATTGCCCGGTACCCACACAGCAGTACATACTTGGTGGCGATTCCTCATTCATGTTACGCGAACATCAGAATTCTCTCCACGAATGTACTCAGCTTCGGCTGTAGCCTCTTGCGTGAGACAGTACACAAACGAAGCATTGCCGTTAAACCCCATACCAGTTCCAAATGCTGTGGCAGCGATAGTCCAACCTATAGTAGCCTGTGCATTTTGATTACAATGATTTCCATGTTGGTACAGACTAATGCTACATGTCAGTGTATCGTATGGTAATGCACGTGCAGTGCAAAACGGCCTCGCATCTTGCTGTACAGGTCAGTCTCACCGTCTAATCTATCGTGCAATGCATTAGAGTCACTGCACGCACCAGGTACTATACCTATAGTTGTCTTTGTTGTTCCCGTTTGGGGATACCTTCTAGGATCCTTATTACTTAACATAGAACTGATTAAACCAAAAAAGGAACTACAACGGTACTACACAACAGCTTTCGGCATTCTTCGTCGAAATTCCGAGGAGAGGGTGCACCACGTAGTGGCGAATTCGAGCACAGAGGTGGTACTTGAGGTGAAGAGCCAGGACACGGTTTTGGGTTTAGGGTTTAGGGTTCAGGGTTTAGCGCTTAGGGTTTTGGGTTTAGGGTACTGGGTCCTGGGTGTTGGATTACCATACTTTGGTACTATTTAACACCGTTGATGATATAAATCCTCCATTACCTCAAGGACCCTGAACTATGGGAATTATGGTATATTCTTTAATATGGCTAATGCAGGGTTTACAAGTTTACAGCATCAACTGTCCTTCTTTGGTGCTTATTCCTTAAAGGAACCATTATGACATGAACGTGTATGCTTTTGTCGCACTTTCATACTTGTCTGGTACTTATTTCTGAAAAGAACCATTGTGACATGGAAGTTTATGTTTTTTCTCCCTGGTTACTTCCAAGCCCAGAGGAGAAATCCAGGCATTCGTCGAACAAAATCCCGCTGCAGCTGCAGAAAGGGCCCAGGCAGCTGAGCAAGGTCCCCCAGACGGAGCGGCCGGTACTGGCAGATGATGTTGACCCTGTACCGGTCAATCCGTTCATTGCAACTAGGTTGTAGTACCCTTTTGCCCTTTTTTTCCTTTTGGCTTCTCTATTAAAACCATGTAGTAGGAACACGGGTGCCCTTATCCTTAAGGGGCTACTGGGGAACCTAGGCAACTGATGAAGCTGATTATCGGGGAGGCTTCAGTCAGAGCAGTGCTGCGCCGGTGAATACGTTCATCGCAAGTAGTCGCGATGAGAACTTGGGTCTCTGGAGTCAAAGCAGCCCTGGTGACCCTGGTGTCCAATCATCGGCTCTTCAATCATCGGCTAATGCGTCCAGCTTCTCCGAGATTTCATATGTTTCCGAAGCATTCCCACATACGCTCGTCGACAACAATGTGCGCCAAACATCGGACAAGATGCCAGCATCACCTTCTCATGGGCCGGCTTCTCCGGTGCTTCTCGCTCGGCCTTCAGAGCCCCCTTTTGTTTGCACGCTTGTATGTGTTATTGTGTGTGTGAGATGTTACCAGCACCCCCCAACTACCCTCCATTATACCCTAAATACCGACTATTAAGGAACATAAGGGCTCTATTAAAGGGCCATTCTGCATATTGTAATTGCAATGGTCATATATGGTTTGCGCGTAAGCAGATCGGGATGTAGGGTTCCCCAAACCGCAAACCCTGGACCCTACACCCCTCAAATCCTAAGCTTCTTCTAATAGTGACACAAATAACCACGATTAAATAAAATAAGACCTAGAACCGTAGTAGACTGAACCATAGTTCTCTAATAGTGACGCGAATAATCGTGATTAAAATAAGACCTATAACCGCAGTAGACTGAACTATAGTACTAGTAATAGTAGGAGTGCTGATTGCGGGAGCCACCGAGGATGATCGCCACACCGCTGGACAATTACCTTTCCAAACAGGATCTTGAGACGAAGCCTTCGCGTGTGTGGTCGGGTGTGACTCAAATCCAGCTGAGCAACAGATGAAGCTTTGGTGTTTACGGTCTTCCTTCGACGGTTCACAATTATGTTGATGATTGTTGTTTCTTGCAACAGGATAGTTGTCTTCAGATCCAAGTGTAGCACCAAGCCGCTGGCAGAATCTGAGGTTGATGCTGAATGATGCGAGCAATGTTTACAGAAGTTCCAGGTCAGAAATACATATGGTCCTGTTACGACTATACTTCTGCTGCTGCTACTGCTGCTACTACTACTATCATCACTGCTGCTCCCCAAACCCTATAAGCCCTAAACAACCCTAAACCCTAGAACGTGGGCAAAAGGCTGCGCAAGCAGTGTCGACCCGTCGAGTTTCTGGCTTGTTCTGACCTAGAGATCTTTGACAATGTTTCAAACCCTAAACCCTAAACCCTAAACCCTAAACCCTAGCCGTAAATAGGCTTTCGGGTAGGGTTTACGGTTTAGGGGAAGTTCTGCACACCATAGCCTGACCCGCATGACTTAGGTGAAGCTCTATATCGACTATGTCGCTGGTTTCCTTGTGCTTCTGAACACCGTGACCATGCTCGTAGAGCTGCAGGCGCGAGACCCCTTTAAGTTTTCGGTTGACTGTCTTGCATTGCTGTCTTGAGATCGCTGTTGGTTTAGAAGTTTAGGATGTTGGGCTCAGGGGGCACAGTACACTATCCAAGTCTTATCTCTTCACGTAGAGAAACCATCACGGACCCAAAGGCTCCATGTACCTTTATAGTAGATACTTAAGCCCTAAAGTACCCATATAGGGACCCCTTTAAGGCTTAAGTAACTACTATAAAGATACATGGAGCCTTTGGGGGACTATCTGGGTCTAAACCCCACACAGGCTTTTGGCCGGAAGATTTATCCCCTCGATTTCAGGGCGGCTCTCCCACAAGCCCACGACGGTTTAGGGTTTAGGGTTTAGGGTTTAGGGTTTAGGGACATGCAAAGTTCCATTGTGGCTGCATGCACGTGCCAACATCAGTGACTTGAGAGAATCACCCCTAATCCGAAACTGTCACTCGGTGCTGGCTTTGGGGGCACCCCGTGGTGTGTCCAATAACTACCAACATGGCCTTTCTTAAACCCTAAACCCTAGCTTCAGGTGGAAGGGAGCTATGTGGGCCAAGATCTTGGGGTCGCGGGGGTCAACAACGATCTGGCGGCATCACTTCCAGCGATGAGGATCTTGCACATCATCTTCATGTTCACCAGCTGCATACCCAGAGAGCCCGAAACCCCAACATGTTGAAATACGGCTTAAACCATAGAGGGTTTGAAATTATGCTTGAATACTTCAACTAAGGGTTTTTGGCCTCTCTAGAGGCCAGGTACATCTCTACAATGTTGGTGCTTCATGCAGCAGGCCACACATCTGTAATTGATGCCACGCCCTTGAAGTTAAATGCGGAACCCTCTTACCATGGAGATGCCCTGCACGACGGAACGACCTTGCGTGGTGTAAGCCCTTGTGAATGTTGAAAGTCGTTTGTTAGTGGAGAACCGGGTGATGCTACCGGCTGTTGGTTCGGTTGAACTTTTGTTGCGTTTGTACTGGGCACGCATCCCTACCAAGCAGCAGCAGTAGCAGCAGCAGCAGAACGGGAGTATGGTCGTCGGTGTAGCACTTGTACCAGCCCGTAGCCGACGTGGTATTGGTAGCAGTAGCAACTCGCGGTCACCGGCGCAGATGCAGTAGCAGTAGCAGCAGCCGGAGCAGGAGCAGGAGCAGGAGCAGGAGCAGGAGCAGGAGCAGGAGCAGGAGCAGGAGCAGGAGCGGGAGCGGGAGCAGGAGCAGGAGCAGNNAGCAGCAGCAGCCGCAGTTGTGGTAGGAGGAAGAGGAGCATTATTCATCATCATTTCTTACTCTTATCATGATTATTACTATTGCTACCATCAGTCTTAATAGACTATTTCTATTATTTAGAGTAGTCGTCAGTTGAGGTCAGTACTGTAATAGTTGTTGGAATCACGGGTAATCGTGGTAGTCGTAGGAGAAGGAGGAGTAGTAGTGGCAATGAGCGCAGTAGTCGTCGTCGTAGCAGTAGTAAAGTAGTCGTCGTCCATGTCGTAGTGGTGGTAGGCGTGGTAGTAAGGTTGGTGGTGGTGGTGCTGCTGCTGCTGCTGCTGCTGCTGCTGCTGCTGCTGCTGCTGGTAGCAGGCATAGTGTTGTGATTAGCAAGAGTAAGAGTCGAGTAAGAAGAAGAGTACGAACAGGAGAGTAAGGGTAAGAACGGACAACAGGAGCAGTAATTAGCAGCAGCCGTAGTAGTATAGGAGTAGTATTACCGGCATCGCAGAATCGCGAGAGTATGTTTGGCGCAGGTGTCAGCCGCAGTTTCAGCTGACGCAGCACTAACCATCACCCTGCTGTTTTGGCACCAGAAATTTGAGCCACAAGGAATTTTTCCCCTGATTCTGACCATGTCCGTTCATTCCTTCGTGGCTCTGAAAGGGTCCTAGGTACAGCGACAGCGCCGGTTAAGAAACAGTTTTCTTTTCGTAACTGGGGGCTCGATTTCTTGTTTTTGAAGCGCACTTTTTTTGTGTGAGAAATACATTTCGGGATTTGAGCATACCCTGGATTTCTTGGCCCAAATTGCTTGATTTGAAAAGGCTCCAAAATTAGCCGCAAAGAAATTAGAAGACATATAGAGGCTCGAACCCGCAGCAGCTTCCTCTCGAGTTCATTGGCTTATCCACTCGGGTATGGCATCCTTAAGCTTTTTGCAAGCCATATCGATATGTAGTGACTTCGTAAGCAGTGCTGTCGCTGTAGTGTTGCGGGGGATACTTTGCCAAATCTTAATAATGATTCCTAACATAGAAACCCCACATTCTGCAATATAGGTGTTTTAACCCTAAACCCTAATTCCTACATCTTAATCCCTTTACGACTCTTCGGTTAAAAGCCCTAAACCCTAAACCGCGAGGTTCATGTTTGTAATGGAGTGGTTCCTGCGCATTGGCGTCGAGCACCTGGCCCTGGGTCAGTGTTTACGGTTTAGGGTTTAGGGTTCGTTTAATGTACGGTCTTGAATAATTACCTATACTGTTTTGGGGGCTCCTGAATGTGATTATAGTATGATGGGCCCCAAAACCCTAATCGAATTATTAAGGCCCCTATATTCGGGTTTTTGGGTATCAGATTTTGGAGCTTGAGGGCTTTCAGGGTTTAGGGTACAGGGTTTAGTGTCTTGGGCTTTTGGTGTTTAGGTTTAGGGTTGATTGTTTTTTTTTTTACATCAACAAATCCAAACCCACCAACAACCAACAATACTTACTTGAAGGAGCCTTAAAAGGATGTGCGACAAGATGGTTGGGTGCTTTCGCCCTGGCAGCTGAATTAGACTCAGCTATCGTGAATCGGTTTTGGGGTTGAGGTAAACTCGAAGCGCAAGCCCTAATCTTGCGACTCAAGCTGCAAGCCACACAAGACCTTAGGGTTTAGGGTTTAGGGCTCCATATGGGGGTTTCCGAAAATAGGGGACCCTAATATAGCCCTAAATAGTAGGATCCTTATTATAAGGACCCCCAAATAAGGTACCCCTTGTTTTCGGAAACTCCCATATCTAGATGCGGTGGTTTCGTTGGATGCGCCAAGTTGTTGGAGTCTGTGCCCACTAAGGCGCTCTTGGAAACCCTAAGGTCCATGTGCCCGTATAGTAGATACTGAGCCCTGAAGTAGCTATATAGCAACTCCTTGGTTTAGGGTTTAGGTTTTAGGGTTTAGGGTTTATGGTTTAGAGTATATACTGTATGGGTACATGGACCCTTGGGGAAGCATAATGTTGACAGTGTTTCGCTTCTGGTGCACATCAGCTTGGTCTCAGACGCCTCCATGATATTTGCAAACACCGCTGGCCCTGAACAGCATCACCCTAAGGGTCCATGTACGCAAATAGATATACTTTGTTCTTAATGTAGTCCCTATATAAGTACTTTGGGGCCAATGTATATACTATTTGGGTACCTGGACCCTCAAACCCTAAACCCTAAACCCTTATGGTACCCTCATAGGACCCTTAAAGGACCCTTTTAAAGGAACCCCTAAAGGGTACTATTTGGGGACATGGGCCCTTAGGGTCACTGAGCAGAACGACAAGGAACATTACAGACAGCCTCATCAACACTTGAAGCCTTCCCCACCTCACCGCCCCCCGCTCCGGCCACCCAGAAGCGCACATGGGAGTTTCCGAAAATTAGGGTACCTTATCTTGGGGTCCTTAGAATAAGGATCCTATTATTTAGGGTATTATATTAGGGTCCCCTATTTTTGGAACTCCCCATATGTCGTCCTTAAGTCCAAGCTAGCGTCGGCAGTGAGGAAGCGGGCTTTCCTGAGAGACTATGCCAATTGGTTCGACACCCTGATGGTTCTGCTCAGTATTGTTGACATCTACCTGACGCTGGCCTCAGTTCGGAGCGATGGAGCTCGACAAAGTGCGTCCTTGATGCACAACTGGGTTCTGGAGTACCATACCTGAATACTTTTTGTTGGGACCTGTTCCTTAAGGGAACCCATTATGAAATTAAAGTCTATACTTTTCTCTCCCTGGTTACTTCCTAAACCCTAAACCCTAAACCCTAAACCCTAAACCCCTAAACCCCTAAACCCTAAACCCTAAACCCTAAACCCTAAACCCTAAACCCCAAAGTCTAGGCAGGCTTTTGACGTGCGTGTTTGGACTTGGGGATTCAGGTCTCCAATAGCTGCAGGGTTTGGGCTTTAGGGGATCAGCACCGACCAACCCTCCTAAAAAAAAAAAAACACTACGCCAAAGCTTCAAACCCTAAACCCTGAGCCCTAAACCCTAAACCCCTAAAGCCCTTAACCTATGTTTTCAAAGCTTGACGCGAAAAGCTGAAACCAATCTGCACTGAAAGAGCAGATGTACAGAATGCATCCTGTGACGTGTGATGCTTAGGGTTTAGGGTTTCAGGGCTTGGGATGTTAGGGCTTAGGGTTTATCCAGCATAAGCGGAGCTTCAACAATCTGATACGCACCTTGCTCCAAATTTGAGTGGGCAGTACCCATCCTCTGAAAGCTTCGTTGCTTTCTGATAGACACTAAAGCCCTAGACCCTGACCCCGAATCCCTTGAAACCCTATAAACCCTACTCCCGGTAATCTTTACCTAAGCCCACAAGTCTTGCGTGGTCCAAGTAATCGCCAAACACTGAAACAGAAGCCGAGTCAGGACACTTTCAGGTGGGTAGTTACAGTTATATGTGCCTTATAGAAGGTCTATATATCTTATAGAAGCCTTATAGAAGCCCTATATGCCCTGAACTCCCCACCTGCAGTTTCCCTTAACCGAGGTCATCATCCTTCGTCTTATGAGAGCTCTCAAGTCTTTGCGAGCGATTCGCATCGTTCGGAGCTTGCGCCTTTTTCAAGGGCTGCTTGGTGGTAGGGTAGAGTATAGAGTGAGTAGCCTTGAACCGTTTTGGCGTATTTTAACCCATATGTAGTCCCAAAGGTGAGCCCTTACTCCATTCCCTCAATCCTAAACCCTAACCCTAAACCCTAAACCCTAAACCCTAAACTGGACTGACAAGTAAGGCTGAGGGTGCTTGTGAGAGCCTGCACATGCTTCCTCCCATCGCTTTGTTGGTCTATGGTCCTACTGGGCATCTTCATGTGCCTCGGATTGCTCCATCAACGCCAAGGGTTTTGGGTTTTGGGTTTCGGGTTTAGGGAGGGTTTAGGGTTTAGGGTTATTGGGTGTAGGGTTTAGGATATGCGGGGGTTGGCTATGAAGCATTCGGAAACCCAAAACCTGAAACCCAATGAGCCCTCAACCGAAGCCAATATGTGTCCTGGTTCCTTGCCTCGAATCCTCAACCAGCTTCGTCGCGTCTGAAGTTCAAACCCTAAACCCTAAACCCTAAACCCTAAACCCCTAAACCCCTAAACCCTAAACCCAACAATTGGAGGCTTTATTATGGTGAAGGCTGAGGTCCTTAATCCATAAGGCCACGTGAAATTCGGAAGGTTGCAATCCTTGCCGATCTGATACGCACCCTAAACCCTAAACCCTAAACCCTGAAACCTAAACCCTAAACCGCTCCCCTGCAGTTGCAGATTGTAAATGTTGGGCGCCCTGGGGAGAGGATCCAAGGAGCCTAGCACAGAGGAGTTGGGCTCCCTCGGCTACCCCAGGCCCAAGGAAAAGGCTCCAAAACTTATTAATTAGGGCTTAGGGTTTCTATCCCCTAAACCCTAAACCCTAAACCCTAAACCCTAAACCCAGAATCAGCAGACTTCCTAGCAGAACCATGGTTCGAAAGACCCCCTCAGCCCCTCAGCCGAATACTGTGAAACCTGAACCCAAAGCGCCCTTATGCTGAGAAAGCCCACATCAACCGCCAACCACTGGCCTCAAGCCGCTGGCTTTCTTTTTCCCTTCCCCCCACCCCCACGAGTTTAGGGTTTAGGGTTTTGCACCATCACCCAGCGAAGTGACCCCAAACAGCTTCATATTGGAAGACGGAACAATTACCGACACTACTCCTGAGAGTTCCCTCATATGCATATACTGTCATATAACCTCCACACCTCCAAAGCAGTCCTCTACTGAGAGGGTCGGGGGACTTAGTACGTCGATAGTAATTGGAGTTCTATAAGTACCCCAAACGGGTCCTAATTGAGGTTGTGGTACTTATGACTCTATGTAATAACTTCCCCGACCCTCCAAGTAGCCATAGGCCCGCACCCCCCATAGTATATTGCATGATCTTGGATTACAGTACAGTATATTAGAGTATAGAAAATTATCGTATACTCTAAGAGTGTATTCTAGAAAATTGCAGTAGATTAAATTATAGCATAGTCTATTATAGTATAGTAGATTATAGTATAGTACCATGATGACCAGGTGCTTGGGAGCTTTGATGATGGGAAACCTACTGCAGAGTTACATCCAGGATGAACTGCAGCCACTGGAGGACCCCGTGGTGAGTTTTGTTTGGAGCTTCGGGTTCAGGGGTTTGGGGGTTTAGGGTTTAGGGTTTAGGTCTTAGGGTTTAGGGTTTAGGGTTTAGGAGTTTGGGGTTTTAGGCTTTAGGAGTTTAGGGTTTAGGGTTTAGGGGTTAGGGTTTAGGGTTTGCAGCGGGTGGAGGACCGAGAGTGGATGTGGGATCGCTACGGGACCGCCTATCGTGCCTGGTACACTCTCTTCGAGATTACTTTTGTGGCTTGGCTGATTCAAGGTCCGTGCAGGTTTTGGTATTAAGCCCTAAACCCTAAACCCTAAACCCTAAACCCTAACCCTAAACCCTCAACCCTAAACCCTAAACCCTAAACCCTAAACAAGCACCTCTTTCGACTACTCCTTGCTACAGACTGGGATCTGTCACTCTTCTCTCCTTCGCATTGACAGCTCTTTTTGTTTAGAGGAATCCTCAGCTTCTGTTTTGTGATGTATAATGTAGGGGCCTAAATAGTTACATATACTAATTTGGTGGTTCCTAAATTATGATTAACCCTAAACCCTAGACCCTAAACCCTAAAATAGTACAATATAATACCACAAAAGCCACAAAACCCTACTATAATTATTAAGGCCCCTACGTTATACCTTGACCCCTAAACCCTAAACCCTAAAACCTAAACCCTATTGTACTTAGTAAGGCCCCTACATCCCTAAACCCTAAACCCTAAACCCTAAACCCTGTACCTTGACAACTCAACGACATGCTTGCCCCCAGGAAGGCCGGTTCTCGTCATAGTGGGTGACCGTTCCCTGCTTCGTGGAACGGTTCAGGGTTTAGGGCTTTTAGGGCTTTAGGGTTTAGGGTTTTAGTGTTTAGGGTTTAGGGTTTAGGGTTTTAGTGTTTAGGGCTTTTAGGGCTTTAGGGTTTAGGGTTTAGGGTTTAGGGTTTAGTGTTTAGGGTTTAGGGTTTAGGGCTTTTGTGTACCCAAAAGCCAGCAATCAATGTACCATGGCAAGTGGGTATAGCGTGCAGAGTAATTAAGACGCATCTTAAGCAACCGATGTGTGTCTACCACCTCAGGATCAGGCACCTCGTTTCGAAGGTACGATAGCCGCTCTTAGGTGTATGCCCAGGTTTGTGGGCTAGAGCCTAAACCCTAAACCCTAAACCCTTAACCCTAAATTAATCTGAAGCCCGGTCTCCATTCCCACCTCCTTCCTAGATAAGAGGCCCTCGAAACCCTAAGCAGCCTTACATCCTATTAACCCTAACCCTAAGCCCTAAACCCCAAAACCCTAAACCCTGCCCTAAAC